TGTGACGTGTGGATGGTGTGTGTGAATGTGGGGTGGTGGTGTGGGTGTTGGGTGTGTGGAGTGTGGTGTGTGTGAGGGGGTGTGTGTGAGTGTGGATGTGTGTGAGTGTGGATGTGTGTGAGTGGGGTGTGTGTGTGAGTGGATGTGTGGTGGTGTGGGTGTGTGTGAGTGTGTGTGTGGAGTGTTGTGAGTGTGGGATGTGTGTGGTGTGGATGTGTGTGAGTGTGGATGTGTGTGAGTGTGGATGTGTGTAGTGTGGATGTGTGTGAGTGTGGATGTTGTGAGTGTGGATGTGTGTGTGAGTGGTGGAGTGTGGATGTGTGTGTGAGTGTGTGTGTGTGTGGTGTGGATGTGTGTGTGTTGTGATGTGTGTGTTGAGTGTGCGTGTGTGTGTGAGTGTGGATGTGGTGTGGTGAGTGTGGATGTGTGTGTGAGTGTGGATGTGGTGTGTGAGTGTGGATGTGTGGTGTGAGTGTGTGATGTGTTGTGTGAGTGTGGATGTGTGTGTGAGTGTGGTGTGTGTGTGAGTGTGGATGTGTGTGTGTGTGTGTGGGATGCTGTGTGTGAGTGTGGATGTGTGTGTGATGTGGATGTGTGTGTGAGTGTGGATGGTTGTGTGTGAGTGTGGATGTGTGTGTTGAGTGTGGATGTTGTGTGTGAGTGTGGATGTTGTGTGTGTAGTGTGGAGTGTGTGTGAGTTGGTGGATGTGTGTGTGAGTGTGGTGAGTGTGTGGTGGTGGGTGTGTGGTGTGTGTGTGTGTGTGTGTGAGTGTGTGGTGTGTGTGAGTGTGTGTGAGTGTGGTGTGAGTGGTGTGTGTGTGGTTGTGAGTTGTGGATGTGTTTGATGTGTTGAGTGTGGCACGTGCGTGTTGGTGTTGATGTGTGTGTGTGTGTGTTGAGTGTGTGTGTGTGTGTGTGTTGAGTGTGTGTGTGTGTGTGTGAGTGTGTGTTGTGGTGTGTTGAGTGTGTGTTGTGAGTGAGTGTTGAGTGTGTGTGTGTGAGTGGTGTGTGTGTGTGGGTGTGTGTGTGTGGTGTGTGTGAGTGTGGTGTGGGTGTGAGTGTGTGTGTGGGTGTGTGTGAGTGTGTGGTGTGTGTGTGAGTGTGTGTGTGTGAGTGTGGTAGTGTGTGTGATGTGTGTGGGGTGTGTGTGAGTGTGGGTGTGTGTGTGGTGGTGTGTACGTGTGAGTGTGTGAGTGTGGGTGTGTGTGAGTGTGTGTGGGTGTGTGTGAGTGTTGGGTGTGTGTGGTGTGTGTGTGTGAGTGTGTGGTGTGTGTGAGTGTGTGGGGTGTGTGTGAGTGTGTGGGTGTGTGTGAGTGTGAGTGTGGTGTGTGTGAGTGTGTGTGTGTTGTGTGTGTGGAGTGTGTGTGAAGTGTGTGGGTGTGTGTGAGTGTGTGGAGTGTGTGTGTGAGTGTGTGTGTGTGTGTGAGTGTGGTGTGTGTGTGTGAGTGTGGTGGTGTGTGTGAAGTGTGTGTGTGTGTGTGTGGTGTGTGTGTGTGTGTGTGATGTGGTGTGGTGTCGTGAGGTGTGGTGTGTTGTGTGTGTGTGGTCTGTGGTGTGTGTGAGTGTGTTTGGTGTGTGTGAGTGTGGTGTGAGTGGTGTGTGAGTTGGGTTTGTGTGTGGGGGTGAGAGCGTGAGCATGAATGTGAATGTGTATATGTATATATATGTATGTATGTGTGTGTGTGACCATGAATGCAAATAGGGACCACATGTTCATGCCATCAGTAATGTACACACAGATTTATTCATCACTATTTTTAAGTCGCAGTCTCCAGAGCTATTTTCTTGGTGCTGAATGTTCCTTTTAAGATCGTAGGAAGAAGAAAAAAAATGATAACGAGTCTAAAAGAGAAACGAGATTACTCCGCACACAGCACATTATTCCCCGAATACAGCGGTCGTGTTTGTCCTTAGTGAATTAATGATGCTACGAAATGGAGGCACCGAAGGGAGGGGGGGTAGAGGGGGAGGAGGAAGAGGGGGAGGTAAATGGCGCGTGTTTGACCATCTTTGAATTTAATTAGATTTTTCCTCTCATTGTTTGGTTGTTAAGTCGCCAAATATGATCAGTGGATCCCCCACCACCCCCCTCCCCTTTTTTCTAAGTGGAATTCTGCTTCGGTTCTGGGTATGAGATAAATGGTGTAGAGTATATTGGGCTGAAATGTGTTCCGATATCTGATCTGGGAAATGCGCTCTCTGTCTGTCTCTGCTCTGTTCTCTCTCTCTCTCTCTCTCTCTCTCTCTTCTCCCTCTCTCTCTCTCTCTCTCTCTCTCTCTCTCTCTCTCTCTCTCTCTTTCTCTCTCTCTCTTCTCTCTCTCTCTCTCTCTCTCTCTCTCTCTTCTCTCTCTCTCTCTCCTCTCTTCTCTCTCTCTCTCTCTCTCTCTCTCTTCTCTCGTCTCTCTCTCTCTCTCTCTCTCTCTCTCTCTCTCTCTCTCTCTCTCTCTCTCTCTCTCTCTCTCCTCTCCTCTCTCTCTCTCTCTCTCTCCTCCCTCTCTTCTCTCCCTCTCTCCCTCTCTCCCTCTCTCCCTACCCCTCCCTCCCTCCCTCCCTCCCTCCCCCTCCCTCTCTTTCCCCTCCCTCCCTCTCTTTCCCCTCCCTCCCTCTCTTCTCCCCCCCTCTCTCTCTCTCTCTCTCTCTCTCTCCTCTCTCTCTCTCTCTCTCTCTCTCTCTCTCTCTCTCTCTCTCTCTCTCTCTCTCTCTCTCTCTCTCTCTCTCTCTCTCTACATATATATATATATATATATATATATATATATATATATATATATATATATATATCATATATATGTGTGTGTGTAGGAATATGTATGTTGTATGTATCTATGTATGTGTATATGTGTATGTATACATGCATACAAGCAAGCAACACACACACGCACACACAGTTTCTTTCCTGTCCTTCCACCATTCTTTTCCAAATAACGAACTGCTACTACCCCCCTACCCTTCCCCTATGCCCCCTCCCTGCATCGCCCCCCCCCTCCCATTCCCCGATTTCCATTTTTGAGGTTGAGTGGCATGAATGGAAGGAGGGAGTTGAGGGGGATGCTCTCGGCGGCGGGTCTGTCGCGGAAGCGCCGGCATGCGCTGGGGTGTCGTGGATCGAGTGTGCTTCTTTAGGTGTAAGGGTGTCGTGCTGTTTGTTGGTGGTGTTTTTTTTTTTCTTTTTTTTTCGACAGCGGCGGTGGTGGTATAGAATTATGTGGGATCTGGGGATATAGCGATGAAATAATTAATGGCGGGAATAGTTTTTAGGTTTGCGTTATAGATGTTATTGGTTTTTATGCATATATTAAAAGCGAGCACTTTTTTTTCTTTTATTTCTATTTTACTTCTGCGCCAATATTGTTTCTTTAACATTTTTGCGTGTCCACCGAGAGGCGTATATACTGTGCACGCGATGTAGCTGATATGTAGTGACATATTTTTTAAAAACTGCAGCTTTGATCAGGCCAAATGCTGGTATCATTCCCAGGGATCAAACGATAGAGATAACGTGTGATTTAGGAACCGGAACCGAACCAGCGCTGGAAGAGGATTCAGGCAAGCGCTTCGTTTCAGTGACGGGTTATGGCCGTTATGATCGTTATGAGTCTTATGATCGTTAGAACTGTTATGACCGTTAAAACTTTTATGACCGTTATGACTGTTTTGACCGTCAGAACCGTTAAGACGCACCGTTTCGACTTTGGTGATTTTATGATTTTTATAACGATTGCTATGGTGGTTATCTGACCGTCACTCGTTTTATATGTATATGTAAAGAAGGGACAGGACCGGAGTTATGTGGACGATTTTTTTGTTATTTATATATTTGTTTTTAATGATATATGAAGTTGTTTGTATCAGTTTGGGGGTGAGGGTATGAGGGGGGGGTGAAAGAAAATGCTTTACCCTGTGCCGATAGGAGAGGAGGAGGAGGAGGAGGAGGGAGGAGGAGGAGGAGGAGGAGGAGGAGGAGGAGGAGGAGGAGGAGAGGCAGGAGGGGGGGGGAGGAGGTAAGGGGAGGGGAGAGAAGGGAAGGGGGAGAGGGAGAGGAGGAGGGGATGAAAGGAATGGTGTTATGGTCGATGTTCCGAGAGGAGGAAACTTTGAATCAACGTAGGCAGCCTGCGAGGGGCGTGGCGCTTCGGAGGGGGAGAAGGAAGGGGGCGAGGTGGCGCAGTGCAGCTAAGAGCGTTGCTGGAGCCAGTTCTTCCAACACCTTCCAGCCGGCCGCCCACCAGAAAGCCCACCCGCCCACCAGAAAACCCTAACGCCCACCCGCTCACTGAGCTCTACCCTACCGGGCCGCCACCCATCCTTACACCTACTATGCCTTTCATCCTGTAGCCAGTCACCTGGTGTAGCGAGCTCGCTCCTAACTCGCCTAAGGTGACCCAGTTCGCCTTCCCCTTCGGCAGGCGCGGGACGCCGACTCCCACTTGTCTCGGCAGGACAGGAGGCGCAAACCTTAGAAGAGGGAGTTAGTCTTCGAAAGACGAATCTTCGGCTTTTTTGTTTTTTGTTTTTGTTTCATACATGATTGCCGCGAATGGAAATGCATTTTCTGTATATGTAAGCATCGTGTATGTTGTTAAGCGTACGGAAACGTGGTCGTGTGCCACTGGTTCTCCTGAGCCCTCTGATGTCCTCTAAAGTCGGGGCTCACTTCCGTTCATTTCGAATCCGTGTGGTTCCCTCTGGGGCTTCTCGTTAGACAGATCGTCTCTGAGAAACGACCGAGAGACGTTTAGCAGTCTTCTCTGGGGCGCGCGAAGAAAATGTCTAGGAGAGAATAATCCAGCTGTTAATAATTGTAGTTTTTGAGGGAGTTAAGTCGCTTGTTTTTTTCGCCTTCGTATGCGAAAAATTAAGCATTTTCTTACAAGGAAAGGGTTTTGGCAAGGGTATGTTTTGCTATTGAAAAACAAATACCTGTATCGAAATGTTGAAAAGTTAAAAAAAAGGGTATTTAGACATCGGTTTGATGAAGTGTCTTCTTTTCCGAATTCAGATATCAGAAAAAATACAGATAAGAAAAGAACTAGTGGAACAGTAATCTACATGTATCCCTTGTGGCACCAAGAGCCCCTGTAAAACACCTTAGAAAAAAGGGAAAGTAATTGGGCTGTCAAGTGTTGTTAAGTGTTGACAGCAATTATACTCTCGCGGCTGGAGTGGTCCACGTCGGCCGGGATTGCGAGAGCGTCACCTGGTAACCATGGCAACAGCGGTGGTCAACGGAGAAGAGATGAGTGAACTTGGCCGACAAACTTCTTTCAAG